TTTCATTTACGTCATTTCCCTTCGCTGACAAAATTATCTTCCTTTGACAAGTAATTTCCGAATTGTTTAGAAACTTCAGAATCTTCAAAACGCGCAAATGTTTGAACAGAGGACATAGAATTCTTTCAATTCAAAAGCCGATATTTTTGCATGTAAATCATGTATAATGTCCCCCTGTGGCAGATCATCTAATTAAGTCATGATGCATTCAGTTCAGTTGTTGTTTGTTCCCTGCGATCATTAAAATAAAAAAAATATTGCTCTTGTTTTATTTTACTTTATTTTTCACTTTCTACTAAGTGGTTTCCAATTTACTTTATTTTTCGCTTTCTACTAAGTGGTTTCCAGTTTACTTTATTTTTCGCTTTCTACTAAGTGGTTTCCAGTTTACTTTATTTTTCGCTTTCTACTAAGTGGTTTCCAATTTACTTTATTTTTCGCTTTCTACTAAGTGGTTTCCAATTTACTTTATTTTTCGCTTTCTACTAAGTGGTTTCCAATTTACTTTATTTTTCGCTTTCTACTAAGTGGTTTCCAATTTACTTTATTTTTCGCTTTCTACTAATAGGTTTCCAATTTACTTTATTTTTCGCTTTCTACTAAGTGGTTTCCAATTTACTTTATTTTTCGCTTTCTACTAAGTGGTTTCCAATTTACTTTATTTTTCGCTTTCTACTAAGTGGTTTCCAATTTACTTTATTTTTCGCTTTCTACTAAGAGGTTTCCAATTTACTTTATTTTTCGCTTTCTACTAAGTGGTTTCCAATTTACTTTATTTTTCGCTTTCTACTAAGTGGTTTCCAATTTACTTTATTTTTCGCTTTCTACTAAGTGGTTTCCAATTTACTTTATTTTTCGCTTTCTACTAAGTGGTTTCCAATTTACTTTATTTTTCGCTTTCTACTAAGTGGTTTCCAATTTACTTTATTTTTCGCTTTCTACTAAGTGGTTTCCAATTTACTTTATTTTTCGCTTTCTACTAAGTGGTTTCCATTTTACTTTATTTTTCGCTTTCTACTAAGTGGTTTCCAATTTACTTTATTTTTCGCTTTCTACTAAGTGGTTTCCAATTTACTTTATTTTTCGCTTTCTACTTAAGAAGGTACTCCTCTGAGAAGTAAAAAATCCAGTATTAAACCTTTTGTCTGATAATGATTTTTTGAAAGGTTTGATTTTAGAAGATTTTACAAGTGGATAGCTCCTTTTGATACAAATTTAGCAAGATACAGCAGAGCCGAAAATGATTAAACTGCATCATACAGCTGTTTCATCCTTCTGGTATGCTACGATTTTATATTTTGAAGCCTATATAAGCGACTGAAGAAATCTAAAATGATCAAATGAAAAGTCAAAAATTAGATGGAGAGGTTCAGTAGTCCAATACTTCAATAAATATCATAATTCTCCATAGTTTTAGAACAATGTCAAGTACATGTGTATTTTGAGAACATGTCCGCTATTCTAATGAATTAGTGTTGTATAATTACGTTTTCCGATACAGACGTCAGAATATATGTAATAGGAAACATTTTAACACATTTTTTCCTGATTAACATTTTTTTTTAAAATAAATTTTCATCTTTCATTAAAAGGTTAGGGTATGATACTTGGTTATCAAGAAACAATGACAAGCATTAAACTGCATAGTAACCAAAAATTAAATATGTAATATAATATTACAATGACTTAAAAAATATTTTTTTTACCATCTTCCAGTCTTAATTTCCTTTTTTCTGTATGTTTAGATTAAGAAATGTTCAATGTTACTTTTCATGATTTCACACAAAAAGTCAGTCTTTTAAGACACAAAGTCAGCATTCACGAATTTGAAATTCTTTATTTTGATGAAAATTAATGCTATAGTCGAAATCTACATAAGACTTCCAGTCATAATCAAGAGAGGTACCTTAACAACCAGAAAACGTTGAAACTATTGACGTTATTAACCAAATCATGCCGTCAACTTCGCTTTGAAATTTTTGTCCTTTTGTTTCCAAACTCCCATCGATTTTCGTCTTGAGAAACATCTTTTTTTTGCAATACTAATGGGATGTTTTATATGAAATGCGCATGTCAACATAAGTTTTATTCATGTAATAATGATTATGTATTTATATATCATATGGTAATACGTAATTGATGTTTCTTCACAGAAACTTTGGACTGAATTTTAAAAAGATCAAATAATGTAAAATAAATAAATAAAATAAAATACCCTTTTTAAGCACAGCTTCATAATGTACGTTAAGTGCCTATTTTGTTAAGTTCAACGGGTGTTATTTGCAAGAGAGTACGAGAAAATTGATTAAATATGTGCATCAAAGACTGCATTTTGCATTGTATTAAAATTCGTATCTAATTTAACTTTATTTTCATTCATGATCTAGAAAGTGTTAGGATAACTCCATTCTGTGACTCGTTGTTAGTGCAATTGTATACATGATATATTTTTTATATGCAAAGTTTCGAAACTGTAGGGATATACTTCACAGTCTGACAAGGTGTCTTGACCAACTACGGATTGAGAATTTACTATACAAGCTAATTCGACAAACTCAAAGGCGAAATGTTGTTATCAGTTCAAGTATTGTGATGATGATAAACGTGGTTTCATAAAGACAGGCTGATTTATTATAGAAAATGACAAATTGATATAGGTCGAGAAATAATATACAGGGGCATAAAGTATGTGAGGATTTGATTGATTTTAGAGTTTAAATGGAAACCATGCTCCGTTTTAATCTTTCCTGAGTGGTGACACATATTCCATTATTTACCATCTAGTTCATAATTTTCACGGGTAAACAATTCGCGATTTTCTTTTAAGACGCACGAATTATATTTTAACGAACTGAAATTTAATTTCACGATCAGGATGTAAAATTATATCTTACACACAGGTATCATTTTACGGATTATAGTTTCACAAACGTGTTAATGTACCGCGAAATAGCGAAAATATCCTTCCTGTGAAAATAACCAGTTATACAGTATCATCTTTATTGTCATACAAGGTGAAAGGTCACTCTAAAAATATATCATTTATACAAGTTTTACTGGGTTGTAATAGCACAAAATGTTATGTGAAAAGCATAGATTTTGTACATTAAGTCTGTATGTAGCTAAAAAAAGTAAGATGTACTTTCCGATGGTATTGTTCTCAACATCAACATCTGAGAAAATACTTCTATTTCACTATGAAGGCAAAATAGTTTGTAGTCAACATATAACCTCGCATTACTTCCTTTGATTGACCAGGACTTTGATAAAGTGCGGATCAATGATGAAGCAAAAAAAGCTTACTTTCCCGTCACGCATTGTTTTATTCTTTTTGCAGTTTTTCCGGAGTCTCCATATAACTTTTACATTTGTTCATAATTATGGTTCTGTTGAAATGATAGTAGTTCCTTTGTTGATATGTTAGGACATTGAACAGCATTACAGTCAGGAGCTCAGTACAGAGCATGTATTTCTTGCACGCATGCATTGCTTTCTGCCTAATCAATCATTTAAGCATATATATCTCCTTCTCGGTAATATTGGTGACAAGTTGAAGCTGACAGGTCGCTAATTATGTTAACACTTAAAACACGCAGACAACGTGAAAGAACATGACACGACATAGAACATTTCAACTTTAGATAAAGATACAGAATGAATCTAATTATACTCGTGTAACAAAGTCTGTAAGAAAAATGTAAGGCATATAAGACACTGTGTAGATCGTGACCTCAATATAGGTCATTTCTATTGACAGCAACCATTCAAGGGTGATGACATTCAGGCTTGATTGCTTGTGTCATTCAGTACATATCATTTCATATTTTAGATTGATTTCTCATGATACCATGTCTTCAGATTCTACGAAAAGCTGAAAAAATCCTAATAATCAACAAACTTTGTTAAAATATTAATTCGTTTTAATTCAGGATTTTTACAATTAGGGTGTCTTTGGACGCCATCAATAGGCTAAATGTTTGGTTCTCTAAAGCAGAGCCCAAAGCTGGTTATTCACCCCTATGTGTATGTTAATGAAATTGATTATCTTGATTACATATAAATAACGCCTGTGTCCAATCGTAAAGAACAGTATTGATCTAACACATAGCAATGTGTGCTGTCTAATAGACAATTATGTTTATGAGGAAGATCAAAGTATTTTTAGAGAGTCACCATGTTCATAGGTTTATCGAACTGATGTACTGGAAACCTCATCACTGTTTAGGAAAAAGTGAGGTTGTAAATTCTACTTAGCATAATGACTTCATACTTTAGAAAGATATAGTCGGTACAATTATTTAATGAGTTCTTAATGGCACTGCACAGAGTTCTGCCAGTACTGTGTCGTGACATCTTATATACATTAACAAGTTAACGCGACACTAGTTAACATCCACAAACGACGCGTAGTTCATACAAATGGAAGTAAAGAGATAAAAGGGTTTTTGATAAAAGTATTCACATCTTACCTCTAACAGCTTGTGTGCGTTTTATTGTTTCCTTTGTATAAATATAAAATGTTTTCTTATACACTTTCTACGTCACATTATCTTGCCAAGTGATGGGTCTATAAGTATTGAAAAAGACACTCCTGATTTCGATAAAAAAAAAAGATCATCTAGATTGCTTATATTGTTTTAAGTGTAACAACTATCGTCCATTTTGAGAGAGCTCTTTTAATTCTTACTTCCGGCATTTAAATTCTATTGTACGTTTAAACGAATGAAAGCAAACATTGAAAATGATTAAAATATAAAGTGTTTTGTATGTAGAAGGCAATTAATTGCCTGAACATCGTGATACAATCACAATAGTCATTAAATGCACTTTGTCCAGCATTACAACATTGTATATACAAGTTTATACACTTGATCACACAGTTATTAGGTACATTACGAGTGTTGTGATGGTTTCTTGGTTTCTATCACCAGTTCATATATCTAACTGTATTGCACAGTCTGGAATATATCTGTTGGTGATTAAGCTTCTTTGAAGTCTTACTATGGCTTAGGTTCCCCAAACACTTCTAATTCACACAAAGTAAATGTCCAACCGGATGTATACTTTGAAACTTGTACGTATTGCCCAGTAATAGGAACCGTACAGGCAAAGGAACGCATCTCTCCATAAAAACCAGGCCCAGTGTCTACTACACAATCTATGAAGTTTCCTGTTGACGTCCTTCCCACTGCAATCTTCAAATGTTCTAACTCCGAAGGGAATGGATCTAAAGTAAAATGGTGATAATAAGCACAAAAATATTTGCTGTTCAGAAAAACAGAGATACACAAAGGCATTATCGTAAATTTTTAAGTCAGAGTTAATGGAAAGACGGGTGAAGGACAACATACATGTATCCCTGCTTTGTGTTGTGAAGGTAAAAATATAATGTAATTCAGCGTTACAATGGTCCGACTTAACATTAAATTTACGAATAAAAGCAATACCATTTTACCATGTAACAATGTTCAAAATAAACCAGTTTAGCTCTACTGCATTTAACTCTAAATTATCAAAGGTGTTGTTCACTTGTGTGCCTTTTATGCATTTTTTCTAATATCAGTCTGTCAAATTCTTTTAACAATGTAGATGGTTTTCGTATTTAGATCGATGATGTTACCTGACAAAAGGTTAAAGTCTTTTTCCAAGAATGTGTTATATGTTATATGCATTCATGTCCCTGAACATAGAAATCCGAAACTTGGTGACAGCGTTGACTATTCTCATTGAGAACAAGAATTGCTTTTTCGCAGTGTTTGAAATTTGAATAATATATTTGAACTATAAATACACACGAAATAAGGGAGATACCTTGTCAGTAAAATATTTTCGTTATACCAATCAATCGTATGTATATGGACTTGATAATATTATCTAGAAAAACAAAAAGCGACTTAAAAAACTCAATATGATATATGTGAGTAGGGGAAAATGGCGTCTTGGTCAACTCATTTAAATAAAACACTAAAGCACCTTTCCATTTAGAGTTTGGCAGTTATTTTGGATTACCTCAGTCGTTCAATTGGTTTCAAAACCTAAGCCCTTAGTGTTACTGGCGAGTCAAGAAGAACGGAAACATGTGTATGATACATGTATATGTCTCTTGTTCACTATGGTATTGAAATGCTGTTTTCTTTAGAGTTATAGACAATTTTAGTGGAAGTTTAGTTCCTGACGTTTGTCGTACCATGCACACCAATCGAACAGTGCCACGGTTCAGAATATGCACATCCATTTCTAAGATAGCAACATTCTACCATTTCCAACCTATGGTTTTTACATGTCGCAGTTGATTCGATATTAAATGGCTTGTTTTCAAAATCATGATTTTCGTGCAACTTACGTACAAACTCACAACACAGGGTTTCGGGAAATACAGACAAAATTATCTCATTAGAATCTATTTTAGTTCCTTACGCGATAGGATGTTTGCCGTGATTGATGTTCTGTTTGTTCCGTTATTGTTTATCATCATTTTATTTGGGAACGTGACATTACTTACTAAGATTTAACAGGCGGATGTTGTCGATGTAGCATAATATGCGTACTCTTCTTGAACACCTGGTCTTATTCCAGTACTTTTCAAGAATCTATATATAAATCTTCGATTTGTTCATATTTTGTCCCAGTTTTACCGATTTCAGTTTGAATTATGATTCTATGATTGATAATTTGATATATCGGCATTTTGTCTGTTGTTTCTTGGGAATATAGCAGTTGTATAACTTAAATAGATGTTTACAAAAGACACACACGTGAATATCATCTTCCAATAAAAAAATGAAACACTTGAGTAAAGCGGAATAAAGAATAAACATCGTGTCTTATTATTATCAATTGATTCTTAGACTAGTAAGCATTGAGGGCATAAAGGAATAAAATCCTTGCGGAAGATCAAAATTACATCTAATCTCTTGGAGTAGAATAATGCATGAATATCACAACTTTTTTTCTGACAAAGTACATGTTTTGTTGCTTTTGTTCTGAGAGAAAGTCGTTGTTCATTATTATTTACGCTTTTGGGTTATACCGCAAGGACTGTATAGTGTAGATATTTTCGACAACAGGATGATATTATTTAACGATAAACCATTTATGGGGAACAGTATCATTGTCATTAATATCTTGCCATTTCTCGACATCAGGGCGATGTTTTGCTTGTAAATCTTTCTTGAGTAGAAAACGTTAAGTTATAATTAACCTTTCTCGGCAGTAAAGGCGATGTAGGTTATTATGTATATTGTTCTAGGAGAGAATTGTTACATTTGTTTTTGGCGATAGGACAATATTAGTCATTATGTTCGTGGATTAACAGTGTTATCTTCCTTACTTACTCGACAGCATCATGATCGAGGTACTGAACAACATCAGATATAATTACCTTTGCGTGCCAGCAATGCTACGTTAGTGATGCGGTAAACATCTTCTAGGTCCACCTTCCACCATATGGTGTTAGCATAAGAAGAATACCCAAGATGGGAACACGATCCCAAAAGACCATTCGGTTCTGGTACTCTACTATCATCGTTGGCCATCTTGGCTGTATAATTGCCCTGTGACCCATGCCCATCATAAAGTCCGTTTTGTGACGATGGCTTTCCTGCTGCCAGATTTCTGCCTAATGCCCCTAAAAGGAGGAAAAATCGAGACATTTGAAGACAATTAACATGAGAAAAGGCCAGAGTGTCACCTTACGTCAGATGTACATAAACGTACGGCGTCCCCAATATATTAGTTTATTTGAGTTTACATTAAGATTGTGTTATCAAGTCGGCATTTCTTACTGTTTCTATAAAGATTGGTATGTATCCTTAAAATATCCAAAATCGCATAAGATAATGTACACGTTAACATAAAATGTGTCATATTTCTAAATTGATTGTGATTAAATAATTTTAAATGTTTTCATGCAACTTTGATTAACAAGCATTGGGCCTAATGTACATGTAGGATATCGTAAATAACAGAAAAACGTTACCTGATGGTTCCGTTGTTGGGAACATTACCTATTTGAGTTCACAAAGTTTTACAAGACAAATGTCTAAGCTGAAGCAAAAGACTCTCACGTTTTGACCTTGACCTTGTGTAAAATAATGTTGGATAAACTCAATCACCCATTTAAATATTTCACTGCTGCAAATATTTTTGTTACTTCCAACAGTGAAATGAGTGGCATCGTTTGAACAAGATTTAAGAAGTGGATGTCGAAGATGCATTTCTTTCCGGAACCCCTATTTACTTCTATTTGGGTCTTTGCGTAAATTTATTCTTAAATCGTATTTTCTTTTTGTTTCGCCACTACTTTAAATAAATATTATAGCACTTCTCCTTCTTCTTCTTTCGTATCCTAAATTTCAGGATTTAGGCCCTTAGACTCACTGAAGAGTTCTAGAAGGACGAATAGTTGTATACTGAGTTAAATTCATTGTTTGTCTCTACTGTTACTAATTTTTTAATATTTAAAAGTGATTATCAATCTTTAAGTTAGCATGTGGTACACAATGCTGGTAGACTTTTCATTCATACGAATAAATGCCCGGTTTAAAATATCAAAATGTACTTGACCCTGTTCTTAAATTGTCTAATGTATGAAATTTAAGAAATTAATTTAATTATGGGGCTACTGCACCTCCCCTTCTTAATTTTGACCTTTTTCAATCACTTTAGGTTTTCCTCAATCGCTTTCCTGGCTTCAAAACTAATAGGGTGAAACAACTGTATGATTGAGTTTATTTTATTCATTGTTTGGATTTACAGTATCAAAGTCGAAATTATTAAAAGGTGCTATTCACTTGTGTGTTTCTGTCGAGTTTGGATTTGTTAATTATACCTTTGTTTTCATAATAGAGCGCTTTCAGGTTAACAGTCGTCGGTGTTGTGGTTATAATTCTATTTGTGAATCCGTAACACTTGCTGCTGTCGAAAGCGTAGCTGTCACAGTCTTCATCCAGCATACATATTAGTGCGCAATTGATAAGGCTGGTGCATGACCACTGCTTGTTTATTGTTGGGATTATACCATCAAATCTGCTGTCGGTGATGAAATGTTGACTTTGAACTACATTAAATAGAAGAAACAAAATACAATAAATATAAGATATAAAGAAAGAAATAACATCCGATTACTGTTGAAGACAATTTGAATATTAATTTCATTTATATGCTAAAATAAATATACAAATAAGCTACCACACTCAAAAGTAATACGAACAAGGTGAATGTGATCATCAAATTTCTTTACTTCACGTAGTATATGTAGTAATTGATGTAAACATTAAAAATGCGATACGTTGTTACGTCGCTAAATAGAAACTTTTTTTATTTCTGACATAGCTTATTTTGAATATTCCGATCCGTCATAGACTGCCTTAAAGGTTTGCATATTACCAACGTTTCTTGACATACTTATTGCATTCTGCTGCAATCAACAAGTTACTTGGACGTTCACTTAGATGTTTGAAGGACATTTCAATGGATACGTATCTTGGATGCCTTTGAGTTAGGCATGGCAAAACAGTGTGTGTTTTACATGACAATTACTACTAATTGGATCCTATCGCACCGCTCTGTTTGTATGTAGTATGAGGGAATGTGTGTATTTTTTTATAATTTGCTGATTATTTTTCATTTATGTTTTTATTTTATAACAATAAAGAATGAATCCTTCGGATTTGAACTTATTGAACACTTTCTGGAAGTGATACATTCTTGTCACAAATGAAAATATCAGCAAATTATGCATTTGCCGATAAAATGAATATTGTTGTAACATGCTTTTTAGTTGACCGTTTTGTACATCCATGCATCATGACTTCAGTCCGATTGGATTAATGTAAAACATGAAATAGAATTACTCAAACAAGCCATATCAAGGAAATTTGACAGGGAATAGATGGAAGAAATGTCATCTAACGCATTCCTAAAATATCTTAATTATAAAATATTGAACATTGGCAAGGCCAATGATATCTATTCGACAATCCGTTCAAAGCAAGGCAGATATGCAACGAAGGGAAATAAAAAACAAACTGCTAATTGGAACATGCATACTCCAATCCAATAGTACAAAGGGAATCAATCTTGTCTGCAAACAAAACCCTGAAACACATTTTCTTTGCAGATTTTCCGACTAAATTAAAGATTAAACTGTTCCACATCGACATTGGATGATCCAGAAACATTCATTAGAATTATTCTTGACTCAACCCACCCGTCTCTATCAGATAATCTAAGACCAAGACATTATGATTTACAAATATTTGAACTGCATACCAAAGAACTGATAACTGCACTGAAACCTTGTACACATAATTGGATGCGTTAGATAAGTTCGTATCAGGCTCTGATTATCTCCCTTACCTTGACCTTACGTTTACAACAGACATCTACAATCTGGTAATTAAGCGGTAAATCTAATGATGTGACCTGTATATATTCAATTCAAGGTTGGATCGTTTTATATCGCTCCTTGAGGAATGGAAAAATCACCAATACCAACAGAACTAGCTCTATTGTACCTCTCGTTTGATCTTATGGGAAATGACTGTGCTGTTTTTTAAACAGAAATATTCACGTTCCTTCTTGTTTTTTTTTTTTTTTTTTTTTTGTTTATATATACATATACATTTTCAACACAACTGCCCTTAAAATTATGTCACAGGACCACGTCACGTGACTACATATTATAAGTACAATATACTACATAATTATAAAAGATGGTGTTCGAGATTCATTCCAATCGCTAGTGTTGTGGTAAATGTTGCTCATATATTACTAGTCATAATACTGGATTTAAGCATGTATCATTGTGATGGATTATACTGAAAACCAAAAATAGAATACTAACATAACAACATAATAATGATCCAAACTCAAATTCAATAATCCTTAGGGAAAATATGAGCAAATGGAAGATTTACAAGGAGACTCCTGAAAAAAAAATCAAGAATAAGACCAGGTGTTCCAGAAGAGGAAGCACAGCCAACAGAGGGAAGCAGTTAGCTCCCATAAGTATGTCAATAGTTAGACCACAACTATATATCTATACCGCCGTTCACTTTTCTTGGAGAAGGGAACGAAGGCGTTCCTTCAGTTTAGAAAGATGACCATTGTAAATAAATTAAATGAATATACTTTTGTTCATATTTTGCCCTTGTTGGATGGAAATTGAGTTTGGATTGTGATTATATTGACATGGTATTCTTTTTATATTTTTTTTAAAAGACTGCTAGGAAAGTAATGGTGACAACAAATAGCCTGAACGTGACGAGATGTTCAGGGTCCTGAAACCGAATGTAAGGACTGGATCTAGCAAACTACATCATCAGTTACAACATAAGAGTAATCAAGTACATGTATTGACCCATGTTACCCAGTACAGCGGACAGACCAAGCATGACATATACAACTATAAACTTATCATCCAAGACGGAGATTGATCCGAACAGTTTTCTTTCCAAGAATAATCCGTAGATAAAAATATGGGTCTTCAAAATAAGGTCTAAAAGTCCCCCAGTCGTGCAAGCTTTGGCTAGTCCGTGGGATTAGATTTTACGCATATCTATACAATACTATGCGTGTATAGATTTAACAAATTTGTTCATTTTTTTTTATTTTTATCAATAGTTCGCTGGGTATTTATTATCGCACCTTCGATGATAGCCTTGAATATAAGAAAATTAAATCCACAGCGAATATTACTAACTGAACAAAATGTGTTTGATTAAATAACAACCAACGGATATAAAGATACATTATACAGGTCCATATACTAGATCAAATGAGATGACCCAGCCTTCAGACAGGAGAATCTTATTCCATAAAAGTGTAACTGTTTCTAAAACATCAAGAAAATACCAAAATGGCAACAAAATAATATTCTATACTCAAATGCAATAAATATAGGGCAGATCCAAGTCATGTCACAACAATGGCAACAACAGGCAAATTAACGAGCAGCGAACACGCCCACCTTCATATCGTACAAAGAAATATTTCTCGATGAGATCACTATGGCATGGCGGCCATGAACTCACCGCCAATTTTTCACGTGTAAACACATAGCGAACAAAATAATAGTGAAAATTTGCATACATAATTAACTTTGCATTCTTTTGACAATCTATATATATATATTCCAGATATTATACGACTTCTGTCAACCAGTTCAGGAAATTTCATTGTGTTAAACATCATGAAGTCATGGATGTAACGTAACTCTGAGCGGGATAGTTGACATTCACACGAGAAGACAGACTACAATATTCACAAGATTTATTTACAGTTTTCCTACAATAATATTTCCGGACATTTATTTACAAACATGCTCCTCACATTGTTAGTCATATCACCACATACGCATTTCACTCTCATGCATACATAATTACATACTCATAGATGACTACCAAACTACAACAACACTAAGTAACCTAAAAGTCACGGTCAGGCCACCGTAGAGTACTCCACAACGTCGCTGTCGTCCGACGTCAACCAATTGTTCCAGATATAAGTAACTGTCACAGCCAAGCAATATTCCCAGAATCCTTGAGTACACCTGGTCGTAAGAACATAGACCACACATCCAAAGCCAAGTAACAGGTATCAACAGATCATCACAATCGACCCTAGAGAAGACATCAAGCAGAACTGTGTTCCCACGTCGGCGATGACGTTCCCAGGACGCTGACGCCATACATCTCTATACAAATAAATGACGTCGTCGATTCATATCACGAGACAAATGGATACATCATATACCATACAGTATATCCAACCCTTCCATATTACTAAGGGTGAAGCTGGGTATTTGGTACTGACCAATACTCGACCCCGCCTCAGGGCTTCCATACACACAACGAGTGGGTTTTCAGTGTCAGCTATCGCTACGGTGTTGGCCCACTGCACTATTTTAATATTACTTATTATTACCAACCACACGTTAAATACATATACAACTCAAGTGAAATTCGTTAACATACACGCTTTTAATAAACAAAGAACTGCACGAGCACCAGTAGTACCCGGTCACCCATAACAATAGCGGTGGCATTTAACGACCCGTTCAAACTCAAAAATCTCATTCAAACAGACAAAAACCTATCCAAATACTAGTGATAAGGTTATGAGGTGATATTTGGATGAATTACATTAAAAATACTCACCCCAATCTGTATTTTAGGCGTCGTAGTGAGCCACGTCTTACCACCCGCTAAGCGTGCTTGTTTACCTGTATTATTCTCACCTGTCGCACCTGCGCACGTACGCCCCGTAAAGCTCGACGGGTAAGAAAAGGCGCGCTAATTTGAAACTCTAGGGCTAACATAAATCATTTATCGGCATAAAATAATGATTTACTATATATACATAGAAACGGCATGTGACAATGGATTTGTTACAATGTATACCTTGTATGCATGTGTAACGTCCCATGGACGAGTACTGACAACAGCTCGTCAATAATAAGATGAATAAATCATTTCAAACAATTTTTATAATTGATACATTCTCTCCTTTTGTTTGTTATTATCATGTATTTCATTTGTTTTCTCTATCAATGAATATTTCATTACTTTGAACAATACGTAAATATGCGATCATCCCAGTAGGCGTCACATTATGTGATGTAGTCTTATCGATGGATTTCGGTATAATAAGAGATCACCCTGTCTATCTAGTCTTATCACAGTCCGATTACAATGTGTCTATATCAATTGTGATATTTCCAATAGGAAACTTTAAGCATGCATTTTATCAATAAAAGAAGACAGACGAAAAGCATTTGTATAGATCGGTTGGTCTTGTTGCTGCGTACCAGGCCATTAAGCATTATTTTCTGACTTAAATGATGGATGAGTAGTATTTGATTATCTATACAATTTCAGCTGAATAACATGGCCTGATTATTAAAATGTGGTATGTGGTATCACCTTTACCACTGCGATATACGAGTTAATAG